AATAACTTTGCAGATTTTCACCGCTCATTATCTCGAGGCATCCATCGTAGGGACATGCGGTTTGTTTTATATTAACAAGGTAGAACAGCAGCTGATCAATAATACTGCAAAGAATGTCAAAAATAAAACGGGGAAAGTTTCTTAATTCGACTAATACTGCAACATGGTTTCAGCATTTCAGGGGCGTAACTAACCCTTCAACGATGTGCAGGCAGAATTGTAAAAACAGGCCGGGCGTCTGGGGACCTCCCAAAATTTTTTTTGAAAAATGTAGACCGCAAGAGACGGTATTTGATGCACTTTTGAGTACATGTACAGCCTTCATTCTAACTCGACAATTTTATTTTTAGTAGAAACAATTCTTGCGGTTGGGCAGCGCGCATTGATTGATGTACAGGGGGGGGGGGGGCATTTGTTAAGTCGCGTTTATTATTGAATATGTAGGGGGTGACCACTGCTGGGATGAGAGCGACAGCAAAGCTCTTTCTTGGAATTGTGAAAACGCTGCAAAAGGGTTGTAACCTGCTGGATCGCTTCCATATTACATAATTTAACCCATGCATCAGGTGCCGTTTTGTACAGACAGACGCGCGACTATTATACTTGGCAATAATAAATTGGTATATGTGTAAAAATATTGTTCATTCAACAGAAGGCGGTTGCTAGCCACCCAATCCCCCCCCCACCCATGAATCCGCCACGGAGGACATACTTCAGTAGATAAATGAACTCATACAGATTACTTAAATTTTTATACAAGGCGTAGTATTTACACTACGTTCATGTGTGTTACTTTGTCAAAATGAGTGCGTGTGTGTGTATGTCCTCATGTTCTGGTGCTGTGGTCCTATAACGGCCCTTCCGCCCGGCTGATCTGCCACCCCCACATACACACGCACTTAGACATATGCGCGCTTACTCAGACGAACACACTTGCGCTTACACACACGCACGCACGCACGCAAGCACGCGCACGCACGCACGCACGCAAGCACGCACGCAAGCACGCGCGCACATTTCGTATGATTCATTTATTTATTTTTTACTATTTTTCGGAATATGATGTGCAGGCACGTGCCTTTTTGACTAAAGGCATCTTCGCGCCTGTATATATATATATATATATTATACCTATATTCTATGAGTAATACTTGAGTAATATATATGTATAATATATACATATATGCATACATATATATGTATATTATATATATATATATATATATATATATATATATATATATACATATATATACACATATATATATTATACCTATATTCTATGAGTAATTCTTGACGATTGTCAAAACTTCGAATTAACGCAAGTCATCGCCATGACGTTTCAGGTACGCGTGACGTCATGGCGACTCTCGGCTGACTCTGTTCGCCATGGTAACGAGGCGAAGACAGACGCTGCTGCGTGCACTGCTGGCGCTGCTGGGCTGCGCTCTCTCCGTCTGCTTCCTTCTGTCTCTCTCCGCCCGTCGTGCCGCGACGGGGAGGAGGAAGGAGAAACCGACCGACGAGAGCGACGATCCCGTCCGCCAGGGGGCGCCCTGCGACGCTCGCTGCTCGGCGACGCACGGCTCCTACCACTTCGGCGCCTGCTTCTGTCATCCGGGCTTCACGGGCGACGCCTGCTGCGAGAGGGCGCCGCCGGCGACCGACTGGCGCGCCGACAACTGCACGAACCTGCGCGCCGACGTCACGTTCGACCCGGACATGCCCCGCGTCGCCATCTCGCCGCTCTGCTTCGAGGACGACGTCGCCGGCGTCGCGCGCGTGCCCCGCTTCATGTGGAGCGACGCGCAGGTCGCCGAGGGCGCCGTCTGGCGGCGGTTGGGCGCGGGCGAGCCGGGCGACCGCTACCTGGAGCACGTCGAAGGCTTCGAGGGTTACCGCGCAGTTCCCGCGCGGCTGGGGCGGCTGGTCGAGGTCGGCGCGGGACCGTACACGCAGACGCTGTACATGCTGCGCGCGCGACGTCGTCTGCGCGTCGACCACGTGACGCTCGTCGAGCCGATGGCGCGCGAGTACATGCGCGACGTCGCCGGGTGCACGTACGCGAACGGCTCGCTCGGCGGGCTCCCGACCGCGATCGTCGCCGCCGGCGGAGAGACGGCGGCGCTCGGCAGGGGGCGCTACGACGCGGCGGTGAGCATCAACGTTCTCGAGCACGTGCAGGACGCGCTCGCCTACCTGCAGAGCGTACACGACGCGCTGCGCGACGGTGGCGTCCTCGTGTGGCACGAGCGCTACTATCGGTCGGCGGCGGGCGGCGACGCGGTGCTGGGCGCCGGCGCGCTGCATCCGATACGCGTGCGGCGCCCCCTCGTGGAGCGCTTCCTCAACATGTTCCGGCCGTTGTTCGTGAACACCCGTCAGACGTTCGGCATGTTCCAGCGAGCGTGCAACGAGACGGCAGTGTACTTCGTCGGTCGGAAGAAGAAGACGAAGAAGGAAAGCAAAGATCGGCTGAAGCGGTAATAGTGGTAGGAGT